ACATGTCCTTATTACCATGGGATAACACCTTGATTGCTTTCAATTCTCCATCACCTTATCACCTTATTTATGGAAGTGTTCCTTTACCCATATGAAGAATGTAATTTGCAAGAATTGATATACTAACAGAAACCAAGTTAATATCCTGAATACATGCTGCTACCTCCAAACAAGTCGAGGTCTTTAATATCAGCCTAGTCTCTTAAATATGTTCATGTCCATTATTGGAAATACAATGCTATTCCTACTCCTTCTGGAAGCAATGTTGATGCTGATGATCTTCCTACCAATGGACACCAGGTTGATTTCTTTGATCTTTCCTGCTACAAGTTACGATGTTAATGTAAGTGTTCTTTTTTGGCAACATATTGAATGGTAATTGCTAAAATTTAATGAACCTTTGGTAACTTAGCTGGTGTTTGTAATTCATGTTTACACCTGCACTCGTGCTGATGTCATTCACCCCTGCTGCCTCTGTTTACCTTTATGATGTCTATGAAAGGACCTGCCGGGCATTCCTTTGGTTCTGTAAGCCATATTGATGCATGTGGTTCTTGTATTAATGGGATAACATCTTGATTGCCATTACCTATCTGCCCCCCGATAGCCATATTAAGGAAAGTGTACATTTTTGCGAACATGAGGAATGTAAATTTTCATGATCTGAAATACCAACTGAAAGTAAGTTGATATCCAGAATACTTGCTGCTACCACCATATAAATTGAATTCATTTATCCCTGCTGCATCTGGTAAACATGTGGATGTTCAGGATCCATTGTCTTATGGAATTTCTGGCATTACTAGAAGCCATGTGGATGCCTGTGGTCCTTCTTGCCAGTATATTTCACATAGATTTCCTTGAACTCTTGCCACCTGTGACAATGCTAATGTTAAGTGTTCTGTGCTCTCAATGTGAAGAACATTAATTTCCAAGAATTTAACCACCAACTGAAAATATGTTGATATAGAATACATGGTGCCACCTCCAAACATGTTGAAGTCATTGATCCCTTCTGCCTCTGTTGGACATATTGGTGTTTATGATTCTAATTATGATATTCCTAGTATATTTGAAATCCATGATGATGCCCATCATATTTGTACCAGTGGATACCATATTGTGTTTTGTGATCTCTTTACCTTGTTAAATTAAATGTTCGCTCACCAACATAAAGAATATTAAGTTCCAAGATTTAACCATTGAAATGTTAAGTTCCAATATTTCACTAATCTTGGAAACTAATTTTATATCCGTAATTCTTGGTGTCATCTGAATCAATGGTCATTTTATTGATCCCTCTTGTCTCTGTTAACCATGTTGATGCCTATGATCAGAACTTCCATGCTATTCTTATTCCTTCTGGAAGCCATGTTGATTCCCCTGCTCCTTGTAATCTCTGGATAACGTCTTGATATTGGTGACCTGTGTGGTCAATTATGACCATATTAAGATAAATTTTCTGTTATTCCAACATGAACAAAGTAAATTTCCAAGAATTCAACTACCATCTAAGTTAATATCCATGATTCTTGCTGCTGTCTATAAACATGTTGATGCCATTGTTTCCTGCTCCCTCTTAACAGTTTTGATATCCATGACCAGACATTCCATGGTAGTCCTATGATTTCCAGGAGGCATGTTAATGCCTGTAGTTCTACTTGCTGCTCAATATGAAGTTTATATCTATCTTTCCTGCCATTGTTTTGTGAATGAGAAAAATGTTAATTTTTAAGATTTAATGTGCAGTCTGAAAATAAGTTGATATCTATGATTCATGCTGCCACCTGCAACCATGTTGATGTCATTGATCCAACTCTGTTAATCAAATTGATGTCTAACATAGGCCATCATGCTATTCCTGCTTCTTCTGGAAGCCATGTAGATGCCTGTGGTCCTTCTTAACCACTATAATACATTGTTGATGTCCAATAACTCTCCTGCCCCCTTGTGACTGCAATAAATTATTGTTCTGTGTTACCAACATGCAGAATGTTAATTTGCAAGATTTAACCCACCATCCAAATGTAAGATGAAATTCATAATTCATGATCCACCTGAAACCATGTTGATGCCATTGATCCCATGTGCCTCTGTTAACCAAATTGATGTCAATTATTGAATGACCTACCATGTCCTTCCTACTATTTCTGGAAGCCTTGTTGATGCTTGTGGTCTTTTCACTGTAGATATGACATTGATGTCCATATCCATGGAGATATTCTGCTACCTGAGACCCTACTGATGCAAGAGTTCTGTGCTGCCAACGTGATGAATGTTAATTGCCATGATCTGAGCTACCATCTGAAACTGGTGATATTTACATGCTACCACCTGCAACCTTGTGGATGACATGGATACCTGCTGTTCTCTTTATCATGTTCATGAGCTTTACTATGCTATTCCTATTGGTTTGAAGTCCATGTTGATGCCTTATGTCACGTTTTGCTCCTGGATAAGGTGTTGATGTTGATGTCCATGTTCTGTCCTGCCACCTGAGACCACATTGAGGTAAGTATTCTGTGCTGCCCACATGAATAATGTTGATTTCTTGATCCCACATGCCATCCAGAACTAATTTAATACTCCTGATGCATGCCACTGCAGGAAATCATGTTGATGTCACTATTCTTTACTGCATCTTCTAAACATTGTTGATGTTCATCATCCAACCTACTGTCCAAACTTTGTTGATGTTACTGATCTATGTTGTAGCTGTCAACCATGTTGAGGTTACTGAACTTTGCTACCACCTGTAACCATATTGATGTCTGCAGTGTACAGTGTCATCAGAAACAGTTTTGAAGTCATTTGTCCATACTGCTACCTTAGATCCAGTTCAAGTAAGTTTCCTGTGTCCCTCATGTGTACAATATTGATTTCTATGATCTGTCTGCCACATGAAACTAAGTTGATATCCATGATCTATACTGACACAGGCAACCATGTTGATGTGAGTGATTCTCACTGCCTCTCTTAACCTTGCTGATGTCCATGATTCGACCTGTCATCTGAAACTTTGTTTATGTGACTGATCTTTGCTGTTGCTTTCAATCATGTTGATGCTACTGAAACTTGCCTCCACTTGTAACAATACTGTTGTCTCTATTATGGTATAATCTGTGACAATTCTGAAATCAATCGTATATACTACCACCTGAGACCCACTTCAGGTAAGTGTCCTGTGTTGGCACTGTATACAATGTTGAATTCTGTGATTTGTCTGCCACCTGAAACTAAGTTGATGTTTATGATCTGCCACAGGAAACCAACCATGTTGATGTCTCTGCTCTTTGTTCCCTTTTTGACCATGTGGATGTCCATTATCTGACTTAACATCAGAAATTATGTTGATGTCACTCATTCATGCTGCAGCTGATAACCATGTTTATGGCCATAGTCTTTGTTGGAATCTTAGACCTTGTGAATGTCCATTGTCCATGTTGCCACCTGAGTCCATGATGATGACCATGATGACTTTAGTCTTTGCTGCTGTCAGCCATAATGTTGATGTCTCTGATTGGTGCTGCTACTGGGGACTAGGTCAATATGAATGATCTGAGCTGCCAACAGAAACTATTTTGATATCATTAAGCCATCATTGTGCTGGAAACCATGTTGAAATCTTTGTCCTTGATGCCCTCAAATACTATGTTTATGTTCATGCTCTGGGTTGCATGCTGAAGACCAGTTGGATATCCATGACCCAGCTGCTGATGGAGACTGTGTCGATGTCTGTGGTCAGTACTGCCACAAGAAAACATCCTGATAGTGATCTGTGATGCCTCCCTCAAACATGTTATGTTGGTGATCTGTGTCGATGTCCTGGACCAGATGGATGGCAGTTATCCAAGCTGTCACCAGTAATCTTGTATTCCATGATCTGTGCTGCTCCTGGAAACCCTGTAGAAGTCTATGATTCATTCTCCTGCTGGAAACCATGTGGAAGGCCTTGATCTGTACTTCCACTGATTTTTATGGGCAAAGAACTTCTTTTGCAGTAGTATCAATGACTGTAGAATCATAACTGAAATTCACACGGACATTGAAGGCTTCTCTGCCACCATCCCTCCAGAAAAGAAAATCTAGACAGGATCTTATTGGAGAGTTTTTGAAAGTTGTACTAAAAATACTTAACTGTAGCTCTTCACAGTTGATGGCTTCAGGCAGGGGTTGGTAAAGAACTCCTTTTTAAAGGGCTGGCTACTGCAAGTTTGACCATGCTCTAATGAGTATAAGGAGAACACCAATTGGACTTGTTATATTGCATTTTTTCAATTCTGGGGGAGGATGCCACAAGGGTGAGAGGTGGACCTGGGAGGACCGGGCGTCAAGTGTGTGAGGTTTTCTGTATGACATTCTCAAATGATTAATAAAATATTAGGTTGGGAAAATAAAAAAGTGTGAAATAGTATGTATTTTAATTTTGGCCTACAACTGATTGCTTATTTTAACTATATGACTTGAACCACAGCCTAACTATCTTAGCCATTTTTCTTGTGATGTAAAGAGACACCATGATCAAAGCGACTATTAGAAGAATAAGCATTTAATCTGGGGCTTGTTTTCAGTGTCAGAGGTTTAGGCCATTATCATCATGGCGGGAAACTCGGTGGCATGGCGGCAGAATCTGGAGCAGTAGTTGAAAACTACATCCTGATCCATAGGCAGAGAGAAAAGACTTTGGACTTGGCATGGGCTTTTGAAATCTCACTGCCCACTCCCAGTGACACATTTCCTCCTACAAGGCCCCACTTCCTAATTCAAGCATTCCAGTATATGAGCCTATGGACGCCATTCTTATACAAACCACCATATTATCTGAGAGTACTTTTTAACATTTGTTTTATTCTTTCAAGAGCTTATACATTTAGACAATATATTTTTATTTTATCTATTGACCATTTCTTCCCTTCAACTCCATGTACTGGTCCCAGTATGTCATCTTCTCAACTTCATGCATTCTCCTTTTTTTTTTATTAATAACCCTCTGAGTCCACTTAGTGTTACCCATGTGCCCATGTGTCTGAGTCCATCTACTGGAGCATCGACAATCTAACAGGGGCCATTTCTCTAAAAGGAGTGACTTTCCCTTTCTCAGAAGCCATCAGTTGCTCATAGCCCCTCTAATGGTGTGCCATTAGACACATCCTTCACAATTCATGTTAGAACTTTGAAGAGTTTGATCTTGAGTAGGTAGACAAAAGTACTGTTAATTGGACTATGCAGCAGTTATGTTATTTACAGAAATCTGCATTTCAAATCTCTGACTCAGTTGCCTCTTCAATTCTTTTTGCATGCTTTTCTGTGATATCCGCATGACTTTTTGGGAGTGAAGGGTAATATTGCAGATTCTTCCATGGTTGAGCTCTCAGTTTCTTTTACTCTGTACTTTGACCAGCTATCTGTCTTTGCCTTTACAGCAATACTGTGAAAAAGAAGTGTTTTTCACTGACTGGCTAAAACAAACACTAGCCCCAAGGAAAGTTGCTATCAGAAATGCCAGCCTCAATGCCGGCTAATGAGGCAAGTGTGGTTCTGATTCGGGGGCCAGTGTCTGATGAAGGAGAAACACCTGTTAAAGACAGTTGAGAGAATAGAAACCTCCCAATGTGCCATAGCTGAAAATGTAAAATGCTTGTTCAAATCTCTCGTTGCAAAAGCAAAAAACTTTGTTCAAACCTTCCGGGCAAGAATTTGTAAGCAAGTCTAGTAAAAGAGATCCAGTTGACTCTCAGACTTGAAAAGAAAAATTGGAAATGATATAAGGGACTGATATAAGGGACTGATATGGGACTGATATTATTATGGACTGACATAAGGGAAATGCATTCTGGGAACGGTAGTTTTTCTGCTAAATATGGTGACATTGCCCTGAAACACTTTTGTCAGCTCAAAAATACGTTCATGGTAAACTTAAAATACAACTTTTAAAAAGAATAAGGAGGCAAATCATCTAATAGTTTAAGTGTTCGTTCCAATGAAAAATTGAAAGGATACAGAACTAGGTGCTTCTTGGTTTGGGGCTCTGTTGGTAAAATGACTTATTTACCCTAATAGCTGTGCAAAGTTTTTATGGTAGTTGGATGACAACAAGCTACCTATAAGAGCAAACAAGCCACTTTAAAAATCCATAAAACAAGGGAAAGCAGTTTATACACTGAATATTGTCTTAGATATGAAGAAACTTATGTTGAAATTAAAAAAGTTCTTTGCCTTTGAACAAACTGCCTGCTATGAGTAATTCCTTTGCAAATCTAATAAGGAGACAAGGAAACAGGCATTCAAAAAGAAATGACTGCTTTATAGATGGGAAACAAACTTCAGAAAATCTAGTCTTACAAAAAAGTTGCTTTACCTGAAAGTTCCTTATAAGAAATCAATGCTAAATATTACAGCTGCTGCTAATAACATCAGGAGTTAAAGCTAATGAAGTGAAAATACTAAATCCTGAAACTCAAGTGAAATGGAAAGATGCCTGCTCGGGATTATGGAAGGGTCCCGATGCTGTTTTAATATGGGGTTGAGGATATGTTTGTGTTTTTTTGCAAGAGGAGAATGAAGCTCGGTGGTTACCGGAGCGTTTGGTAAGGAGTGTGGAACTAAGAAAAGTCAGCTCCAATGATGTTCCTATAAAGGAACCAGAATGAAAGTGGCTCGATTAGTATTTCTGAGGTTTTGTCACTGGTTTAATGCAAACAGTGAGGAAATAAGTGTTCAGAGTTGTGCTGCTTTGGCTTTACTAGCTCCTTTAGAAAACTACCTTATATCACCTAATAGCTGTGCAGTATTGGCGAAGAGCTTTACAGCAGCTAAATATGATAAATATGATTTCACCCTCAGCATGAAGTGAAGTTTTTCAGTAGAGCAAACCAAAAGTACTGCTGTGATAGAAACGTTTGTTTGAATTGAAGTTCTTAGGGGAGCTAT